GTGTGTGTGTGTGTGTGTGTGTGTGTGCGTGCGTGCGTGCGTGCGTGCGTGCGTGCTCGTGCTCTTGTGTTGCTTTTCTTTTCATTTGTATATTTGCATACAGGTGTGCCTGGCTTGTCCGTGTAGTTTGCACAATGCGTTTCTGTGGAACACCTTGATGGAGTTATTTTTAGAATTTGGCACAAATGTCAACTTGGACTCAAGAAGTGATTTGATTTTAGAGGACAAAGGTCACGGTCACTGTGACCTCATGCCCGTGCTTCAAGCTACTTTTGTTTTCAAATTTGCCACGAACACTTGCACAACGAAATTCAGTTGTAGCCCATTTTTAACACAGCAAACACATGACAAACAAAACAAAAGGAATACAGTAGCACATGCCTATAGTGCATTTTTTTGAATTTGCATCATAAGGAATGTAAACAGCAGATACGAAAACATAATTCGGTAAATGATGGTCCAGTTTACAATACAATAGACATAAAGCAGAGTATGCTTTGAGGCGGGCTTACTGTGATTGACAGGTCGCTGCCGCTACCACAGAGATGTACAGTGTCTCTACGTCACTCCTCCGCATTCCAAATATAGTGACTTCCGTTCATTGGCTGCAAAAAACAACAACATGGCGACGGCCGTAATCCAAGATGGCTACCGCGAAATTGAGGAACTTGATGCTTCAAAGCGACCGTCCAAAAACCAATGGGTGACGTCACAATGATTCCGTCCACTTCTTACAGTCTATGGCGTAACTCGTGCTAATTATGAACATTTTAATCGGTATTGATGGATGTAGACTGCATCGTGACTCGTTGTTCTGGCTGCATACTAACATGATGTTGTTGCTCTTAGCACGTCTACATCTTTACATGTGCACACATGTCCTTGCTTGTTGATACATGTGCATACGTTTTACGTTTTAACAAATCTTTGAGAGAAAGTCTCTGCAGGTGTGTGTGTGCGTTCAGTTTTCCTTTGTGATTCAGCTTGTATAATTTATTCATGTGGTGTGTGTGTTGTCTTTGCATGATCTTGATGAGACTTATTTATTTATTAGTCATAAATTGTGTTTTTTTTTACGAGCGGTGTGCGCGCGCTCCTGCACTGCGTAAAGCCGTGATGCCGCTGCATCTGTCAGTCTTAGTGTGTGTGTGTGTGTGTGTGTGCGCGCGCGTGTGTGCGTGTGTGTCGTAGTGTGTGCCCTCACCCTTTCCATTAGGCCGCACCGTGGAGCCCTCCCCCATTTCAAGTGCCCCGCCCGGTCAATGTGAAACTGCAGAAAAAAGGTTAAGCACATGCAGAGAAGCGCCGGCTCGGCCGTCTTGACCTTAATGGCTTGTGCTCTCTAAATGAGAAGCAGCTATGCAGGAAGGACGACTTGGAGCACTCAAAGGAAGAACATTGATTTCACTCATGCCGAGAGAACCTGCTGTGAGGTTCATGAAGGTTTCCTCAGACCGTTCGTATATGACAATACTGTATCGAGCCTTTTAGGATACTCTTATGGAGCCTTTTAAAAATAGGAATAGATGACATTCAGGTGTTAGGAGATATACTTTCTGGTAGACTTGTTGCAGTCCACAGCTCTGGGCATGGGGATCCGCCCCAGTGACAAGCTAGTTTTCTCCTGTGCTTTAAGGTCAGGTCATGCTCCTTCAGAATCAAGCAGCAACCGCCGGTTCTGCCGAGTGAAGCCGATGCGGAAGTGTCTTAAAACTTGCATTCTCTGATAGACTTCTATACACTCGGACTTCTTTTGCACTGGCTATTAGAAAGAATGCAAGTTCAAGGCACTTTAGCATGGGCTTCACTTTTCAGACGGATGAGTAGGTTGACCCCTTCATACAAACACAGATCAGCGTCTGAGCATGTGCAGTGGCATCTGCCCAACACTGAGCTGCCCTCCAAAGATCAAAATGCGGTCATAGTAATGAATTATAAATGACCCAATGTGACCGCATGGCTCTTTTATCAGCTGGCTACACATGCGGTACTTGTTAATGCTTGAAAACAAGCTATTTTCACCAAACAGCCAAACAGATGACTAGAAGTAGCCATACAAATCATATTTTAGAGATATTACAATATGCATTATTTCAGACACCTTCGTATTTGCCCGTTCCTTGTAGCTTGAGATGCATAATACGACTTCACATCACATGAAAAAGGCTTTTATTTCTTTTTTCTGGTAATCTAGTCGATGTCGGTCTACATGACGACTTCTGATGCGTTTGAAAGCATTCTGTTCGTTACATTAACACAGCGCAGGATGACGTGAGCCAGCTGGATCAGGCCAGTGTCACACTGGTAAAGCGGTGTTTAGAATGGGTCGCCGTGTCCCGGCTGCAGGCGTAATAACACTCTTAAGTCCTCCAGTGAGTCCCTGTCCCCGGCTGCTGCTGCTGAGACTGCGCCTGGAAATGATTCTCCTTGTACTCATGGCAGATCAGTCCCAGTCACTGACCTGAGTAATGGCGATGCTCAGCACTGTATTGTCCTCTGCCGCGTTGCCGTGGTGACAGGAGGAGAGAGCACCAGCATGCCAAAGAAAAGCTTCTGCTGAGAGTTGAAGAGTCAACGAAATCTCTGACCTTTCTGTCTGTGTGGCTGACTGCACCGCCATTTATAGACACGGACACACACACACACAGGCACAATGACAGACTGGCAATGAAAGAGGATGTAGGTTTTCATGTTTTCGCCGAGTCACTCTCTCCTTCTCCCTTTTCCTCAGTCAACCTTAAAATTCTTCAATTTTTTACTTCAATAACATCCGTCACCTCTGTGAATCAAATGCAGATCCCTGTTGCTGGCATTCAAGGCCCACACACACACACACACACCTCCAGATCGTGGTCCAGCCGTACACTTCTTTAAAACTTTACTCCCAACTTCATGGTCTGTCTTTGCCCGACTCCCCTCAGAATACCCAATGATGGAGTGACCTCTGGACACTGTCTGTCTTCTGACCTGAACAAAGAAACCTCACATCTCAAGAAGCAGCTCACGTACAGCGCTGCTCTGCCTGCAGACGTCCCACCACTGTAATCCTCCGTCATGCAGCGGTGGGAAGTAACAGCACATTTACTCAAGTACTGCACTTGCAGTTTTTACTCTCCACTACATGTCGTAAGAGAAATATGTATTTGACAGCCATAGTTACTTTTCAGATTAAGATTTTACAATACAAAAAATTATAATAATAATCTTAATAATAAATATTTAAGCAGTGGTTCCCAACCTTTTTGTTCTGTGCCAATTTCACCAAAAGAAAACAGTCTGGTGTATATAAGTTGTTGTTTCACCGATGAGTGATTTAAACACATTTTCACAAAAAGTCCCTCTGAGGAACCTCTGGACTAAACTACAGAAACATTATGAAGAGGTTAAAAGTAGCTCCATTTGTAAAAGGTTTTTTTGCACCTTGATGTCATAACTAATAACACACTATTTCAGTCACGCAGACATTTTTCTGCAGAAAGCCAGTATTTTCTTATCTTATATTGTTATATTTTTCTTTTGATACTTGATAAAGGAATACTTCCCCCCAAAATTACAAAAGTTTTTGTGTCAATTACTCTCAATGTTACTCTCAATTCTTGAAGAAAATTGTGTTTTTCTTTCATGCCGCCTCCGTGAACGAAGAATCCTAAACGTAGAAAAGTCCCGATGAATGGAAGTAAATGGGGCCGCGTTTAACAACAGCAAAACGATATCAGAACATCCATTTTCAAACTTTCACAGAACTCATGCAGAACTCGTCCCGTCGTATGCTCTTTACTTCCCAAACATATCACAATACCCTTACTATTTAAAACACGTCCGCATGAACAGTACTCACAAGGTGTGAAACTGCTGATGGCCAAAACCTACAAAAATACAACCCTCGTTGTGATAGACCAGAATTATATCTATTAATGTATGTTTGTGATCATCCAGCACTCGTATAGACAGGCGGTGTGCTCCCACAAGACCCCTGTCCCATTACGTCAGTCACTATCCTTTCATATACGATCTAATGACACACAGAAAAGTCTCCTTGGTGTCATTGTCAGCCGTGCTACGTCCTCCTAAACCCCGCGGGCTGTTGTCAGGAGAAGCCCCCTTCATTCTCTTCTGTCTGCAGTGTCTCCCGGAGAACACTAGTCTTTTTCATCTCTCCGTCTCGACATCCCCGGGTTTAATGTGTAATCCCTGCCTTAGGAGGCTGGCTGGCAGAGAGACGCGGCGAATGCCTGGACTCCACCGGGGACCGCAGCAGCTGCGGCTTTCTCCTTCTGCACATTAGACTCACAAATGGACCGTCGGTCGGTCTCGGAGGCCTCCGCGTGGGAGAGGCAGACGCACGAAATGAAGAAAATCGCTCAGAAGCACACGATGACGTACCAGCACTGCGCAGTACACCTGGACTGGTTACTGCTCACAGAGGGTGGAATTCAGTCCAGTTGCAGTACCGGGACCTTTCATGATATACAAGCTTTTTTTTTTTTTTTTTTTTTTTTTTTTTTTTTTTTTTAAAAGGATATCTTGATCCTTATCTTGAAAGATGGATGGACTAGAGACTGTCGAGACTACAGTAGTTCATTAATGCAAAGAATGGCTTCATTTCTCTGTCATTCTCAGTGGGGATAATGAGATCAACTGGAAAAGGTTCGCTGTTCGCTGAAGTTACGTCTCTTGACTTCTTCTGTGGAAGTATTTAGTGTATTAAATGGGGGGAAAGAGAGATCCGGGAAAAAAGAGCAACCAGGCCTTCATAGCTAGTCATTTAACTGTACATTTGTTCTTTTACACACGAATAAGAAGACATTATTCAGACATACAGCGGTTGTGTCAGTTTTCAAGGATATGCTTCTGTATTTCTACATAATCTTTCTTTGCTCTCAGAAATAGTGCGACACAAAGGCGCTCACATTGCTTTTACTCCTTACCTTTGGTGATCTAGTAGCTGGAACTCATACCCAGAAAACTATCCTAAACCACGTGTCTTTTTAAAACTCACATTAATGCTTTCTTGTGAGCTTCTGTCTCCAGCGATTGTTCCCTCTGACCTCAGAAGTCAAACGGCAACGCCCGTGCTGTCAAGTCAACTAATCCTCTGACTCTTCTTCTTTTCTTTTTTCTTTGTCTTTTGCAGAGTACGCTGAGAGCATCGGAGATGGGAAGAGCGACGAGTTCAAAGAGGCTGAGCGGAAGAGGATCATGGACCTTGTAGAAAATTTCTAATCTCGCTTTCTCTCTCTCGCGCTCTCTCACACACACACACACACACACACACACACACACACACACACACACACACACACACAATATATCACGATGGTGACCGTGAGCCAGTCTAAGAACTAAAGTCTTCTTCTGTAACATTCTAAACCAACTACAGCCACTGAGTGTGTGTACATGCACAGCAATACTGCGGCTACTGGACTAGAGTTGTTTTCATGGTTCAAAGAAATGTCGTGTTTTTAAATAACCTGGTTGACTTTGCCTGCATCTTTGGCATCCAACCGTTGGGGGGGGGGGGGCGGAAAGGGAATCTGAAATTGTCAGATTGTAATTAATTTGTATTTTTGTAATGAATTCAATTGAATTCATCTCAAAAGCACAATCTGTGTGCCAGATGCAGGGTTAGAATGAAATGTTTCCTGTGCGTGTCATGCTGCTCACTGTAGAAAAAGTTGGAGTTGAGTTTGGAGAGCAGAAGCTCGACTGAATCTCTCAGAAGCACTCGCAGCTGCAGAAATGTTTATTTTCCCTCCCGCGGTGTCGAACCCTGCAGAATAATTACAGACGACTCTGCAAACTCAATATCGATCCCTCGGCTCTACCGCTTCACCCCGTGTGTTTGTTTTGGATTCACGTGCAAGATATGTTTTTTGTTTTTTATAATAAAACCTTTGCTGATAAAAATCCCGATTGCTTGTTTGGTTTGTTTGATTAATGTCACGCTTTAGGGAGTATTGCACACGCAACTCATTACGCCTTCGCTTGGTTACCGGTGCGCAGAAGCACAGATGGAGACAACAAACCCATGTCTGTAGCTTGCTTTGCACACACACACACACACACACACAGAGAGTGAGAGAGAGAGAGAGTGTGAGAGAGTGTGTGTGTGAGTGTGAGAGTGTGTCTGAGTCCGCGCAGACACAGCAGCCTCCCAGCAGCCTCCCGGAGCTCTCAGCCCACTGCTGGCTTTGTCTTTGTGACGCTGCTCACACACATCTGTGCGGAGGTGTGTTATGGCACGTGTACACAAACAAACCTACTGTGTCATTCTGTGCACAAATACTTCACTGTATCTCTGCCGTCTTTGTGCTTAAGAGCAAATAAACATTCCCAATTACTTGTGCGTACTTGAATATGTGAGAGACTTGCAGTGACCCGCTTAAACATACTGACCCCACTACTTTTAGTCCGATATGAATCTCGTCCTACAGTAATGTCAAAGAAATATGAACGGGGGAAGAAAAACATTTATCCAAATGTGTTTTAGATTATTTGGTTTCATCAGAGTGCAGCCGGCTTGAACATCAAGATAAGACTCATCCCCTGCTATCGTACGTAAGCAGCCACTGGTGCAGAAATCCATCAGATAGTTGGTATTAGACAATAGGATCTATAATTTAGTTATTGCAGTAAATTCCAACACATTGTCTTGGTGAAGCTGAAGGCTTATTTTTTATGATTGCTTTCTGTACTTCTGTAATGGCCTTTAGGCTGATTGGTTGTTTGATTATTCTCAGACTATTTCTATTCTCTTATCACTACTATATCCACCGCTGCTATTATTATTAGTAACAGTAGTCTTATCTCTATTATTACTGCTGTTATTATTGTCCTTCCATTACATTCACTGCTGCTATTATCAATATTAGCTGAATTATATACTCAAGTCAAACTTTTTTTGGCTTCACGGGCCACTGAGCAACTTTCATAGGGAACAACAGGGCATCGCCTCCAATGCTGTATCCAGTTCTCTTTATACATTTATGGCATACATACAAGCAGCAATACCCGAGGCCAAGCAATCAGCCACGTTCTGAGCGGGCACTGCCCTGGTAGTCCAATAAATTTGGTCTATCAGCCGTGTTATTGGCCTTCTTCTGCCAGCTGTGTTGAGTCGCCCACATTTGTTAGCATGGTGGCTATTGTTCTGTCTTTTGTTGCACTTTACTAACTGTCCTGTAAACATTTTGACAGAAGTTGAACAACTGAAACAAAACGTTTCTATGACACTTAAGTGATGCAATATGGAGTCAGAGGTGATGGAGACTTTCCCTTCCTTGTCTCTGAGTTGGAATGTTTACCATTTGCCACGTGTGAATAAGTGTCAGAATGCCATGACCATCAGAGGGAGTTACTAATCCATGATGGTGGTTTTTGTTGCTCGTATTGATGGGGCATTTAAGTTGATGCCTTACAACAAACCACACATTGTAATTTCGTGTGTCTTGCTTAGGTGAATTGATTTTCCAATAGTTACACCTAAACGCTCAGACCTTTTTCGAGCAGACGGGTCTTAATTGCCTCCCATATGAAACCAGATGCAGCATCTATATGTATTGGGGTCTTGTCAACAGTATATTTCTGTGTTATTAATCACTCAGTTAGTGTACCACGCCCTCTCTGGATCCCTGACCGTGATCCTGGCAGGAAGCCGCAGTGTCGGGAGGGAAGGTGGGGGCCATTCACTGACAGCTGCCACATCTATTGCCTTTCCTAAGTGTCTTTAGGAACTCTAATATCGCTCAGTAACAAGATGGGTAGAACGGCGGGGTATCGTTTGCATATTGTATTGGAGGAGCAGACCCGGCCCCATGCATCTCTTATCAGTGATTATGACTGCGGCGTGTTTAACAGCGGTTGTACAGCAATTTCACAGCCGAGGGGAAGGAGAATAATTGTATTTTCCGAATGACTGAGTGCAAACACTGTGCACCGCTGTGCTTTTGGGGCTCCTCTCTGTTAGTAGGGACCGAGAGGAGAAGGTATTCTGTTATTGAGAGTCAGTGCAGGGATTGATAAAGGGTGAAAAAAAAAAACGGGGCATTGCGACTTAAGTCACCGTGGTGCTTCCTTCATTCCATCCTCCCAAATTCTGCGTTCCCTGAAAGGTCAACACTGTTGAGTCAGTCGGCAATTGGTCAAAGTTGATTGCTGATTGAAATTAAATGATTTGGGTCTGAAATTGTGCTGGTATGACTCAGCACTTTGAGCTGGCCAGAAGACCTGATAGCAAATACTGAAAAAGAGCGAGGAGAACCTCAGGAAGTCACTCACTGAGGTATCCCACAACAGAACAGCCAAAAAGCAGCATAATAAGAAGGGAAAGATGGCACCTGTCCGTGTCCACCATTAGGTGAGATCACTGTCAGTGACGTGTGTCTGCGCTAAAGACTTTGAGCTGACATATTTGGCACCGAGCATGGTCGGGTAGTAGATAGTAGTAGTTTCCAGCTGAACCTGATTAAGAACCCTGCATTGCGGCCGCACAGTTAGAAGCGCACACACGTAAAGCTGTCATCGCTCAAACTCAGGGGCTCAAAACAAAGCTGGTAATTGTTGCCGCAGTCCAACTGACACGTCACTGAACACTACGAAAGCACAATCATTTGCCCCTGAGGGTTTTATTGGGGCATAGCAAAATATTACAAAGAAACACTCCCCAGCAAATGGGACCTAATGACACCCCAGAGGTCGTGAAGGCATCACAGCGCACAACAGAAACCAAGTATCAAGCATACCAACCCCTTTTTCCCACCCTTTCTGTTCACTGTTATGTAAAGTTGTATAAACAGCGTGCACTTTTCATCTTCATCCTTTTATGGATGTCTTGGACTGGTAAAAAAAAAAAAAAAAGCAGCTCATGAACGCCTGGGTTAATGGCTTTTATTAAAGAGGGTAATTGGAATCAGGTAATCCAATCAGTGTGTTGACATTTAGCAATGGGTTACAGCAAGGTCCGTGTCTCTGTTAGAAATCTGAAAAGTTCGGTTACAAGCCGGGTTTGCTCTTCAAAGCAGAGACCCAGTGAGGTGAAACGTGCCTCCATCAAAAGATGTCAGGGGATCGGGCAGGTTGGTGTGTTATACTTGCTACTTACTCTGTTCAGCGGTCCACAAATAACTATAGTTCAAAACAAGAATGGTGTTAACGGATAGAAAGCCCCAAGATGGTTTGCTGCTGTTGCATCTGGATAGCTTGCAGTTAAAGACACAATTTAAATATTCAAAAAGAAACATGTATCATCTTTCTGACCTTGATTGTAATGCTGATGTAACTGATGTCATTACTCACACAAACAAATACATATTGTAAAGCATTTTTGCTCTGTAACAAATGTACTATCATAATGCGAATCAACTCCGAAGGCATGTTAAGATTCAAATACAAACACCACCAATATATTGTATACAACCCCAATCTATTTAGACAAAATTAACTAATCTCAGATGTAATAGGTGTTATTTATAAGTTATTTATGTCTATTCATAGTCCCACGGCGCCACCATTTTGAAACTTCTGAATCATTAAATGCAGAAATCTGGTTAGCAAAAGTTATAAGAAGGCTTGCTCTTAGTTGTGTGCTTGAAATAAATGGGACACAGTATATCATCTTGCCTAACAAGGTGGACAGAATCTCGTCTGGCTATGCTGCCCTGAAATAGTGCTTAAGATCAATGAAGATTATACAAGCACTTACATACTATCCCATCAAGTCCAATGGCCCATATCATAGTGCAGCTTGAGACAGGAAATCCTATCCTCGAGTGTTCAATATGTGACCAACACTGAGGCTGCATTTCAGCACCATGGACAGCGACGCACCAGAGCTACAGGAGGCGGTTTGCAGGTCCAAACCAGGGACTTTATTCCAGTTCTCTTAATACTTCTGTGTACTCGTAATACCTCTGTGTACACCTACTACCTATGTACACATAGGTATGTGTATATAGTTAAACCAGAATGTCCACGTCGGAGAACAGAGTAGTTATCATATTTTGTTCTTTTGGCAGCTGTGTAAATATCTAATGTTAGCAAAAGAAAATTTAAATACATTGAGCAAATATAACTCAATCTGCTTTCATCAATCCCATAGAGGGAAAGAAGTGGACGCAGTCACCATGACGTCATCCGTTGGTTTGCGGACTGGCGTTTTGAAGCCTCGAGTTCGGTATTTTGGCCGTAGCTCCGCCTCACTTCCCTCCGCTATAGGAGACTTCTTTGCCGGGAGGAGAGCGAGCTTTTAACAACATAATGATTCACCCACACACTCTTGTTACAGCTTAAGAAAATGTACATTGCTAAGCCAGGCGGCCAACCTCTGGTTCTGCCAAGTGAAGCTGATGCGGAAGTGTGTTAAAACTTCTCTCTACTGATCAGCAGGGGGCGACTCCTCCAGTTAGTAAAAAGAGTCAGATTGTATAGAAGTCTATGATAAAATGACTCTTTCTTGATTTAGTCCCTCAGTAAACATTGTAAACATGAGTTTATGGTCTCAATCTCTAGTTTCAAGTCTTCATCACTATGCTTTCACTATTATTTTTTCTTCGCCTTTCAGAAAAAACAAAAGTAGGAACAGGTCAATTCAATCCTACCAGGAGTACAATAAGTCTTCTCTTCTTTCTGACATTTTACTGTTTTTTACGAGTGTATATATACAAAAATATGTCATAATCAATTAATTAATGACCTATTCAGAGAAGATACATGACACTATGGGAAGCAGACTTTTTACCCCCCTTGTTTGCAAACACTTGAGCTAATGTTGGTGCGCTCTAATGCTGCTTAAACGTGTTTATCCGTTAATTATTTTATTAATAATAATAATGGGCTTTGAATATTTTAGAAGTCTACCGTCCTTTCATAAAGCGCATTCGCATTATATTAAAAAAAGAAACGTGAAGTTTACGGTCGCTGAACGTGTTTCTAATATCCCTCCTCTCATTACTGACATTCCCCGCTGCAAGCCGCGGTACCTCCCATTTGGGGAGAAAGTCCCTCCGCCCCATGTAGAGCCGACTGAGCGGAAGCAGAGCGTCAGTCGGTCTGCTGGCACACCGAGCGGTTGCAGCGGCTTCTTCTTCTGCTCCTTTATTCTTCACAGGTATCTCACGTCCTTCCTCACCAGAACAAGTCACCTGGATTAAAAAGTAAATAAAAACACAACAAAAAAACAAAGAAAAGAAGAAAAAAACCCAATCTTTTTTCTTTCGACGTGCATGAGAGGTGGAAGGAGAGCAGCTACAACAGAAGAGACATGGGAGCGTTCAGAGTGCTGCTGGGGAGTTTACATTACATGGGACTCTACATGCAACTTAGTGTCTCCACGAGGCAAGCTGGACACGGCGAGGTGGAGAACCACATCTCTGGGAACGGTAGGTGTGCCGTCCGCTTTCGGATCCCTCTCATTCACCCCCCCACGAGGAGACTTCTGTGTGTGTGGGGAGAGAGGACGGCACAGGTGATGCCATCTGCCCGCACGCGGGAGGAGGAATTAAACAAAGAGGGGCGCGCGGGCTGATGCTGATCATAGCATGCCAACTAATGCCAGTGTTTTCTTTGATTGTGAAGAGCTTGTGGTTCCTTGCTGTCGGGCATTGAAAAAAAAAAAAAAAAAAAGAGTTCACCTGTACGGTGAATAGATGGAGCTGTCATTCAGTCAGTGCATGTCTGTCCATCTTATGAGCACCAACGAGGTTTGGAGTGTTCGATGTCCAGACCGTGTATTGGAAGCCCTCTCTAATGAGTGCTCGGTCCTTGATGTAATTGGTGATGTATGGTGAGCCTGACAGGATTTTTTGCTTTCTGTTGAGAGCTGCAGCCCCCCCCCCATCAGTGTGTGATTCATCCAGATGGAGCACAGGTGATGTCAGCTGATAGATGTGAAGTTAATATTCTCTCTTTGGTGCCCCCATGAAATCTATACTGAGCAGCATCTTCCTCAGATCTGCCTCTTAATCCTCCTTCGCTAGGATCTTCCCCTAAATGGCCTTACACTTTGTTACATCACACGCACACACACACACACACACACACACACATAGAGGGTCACGGTTTGTTTTCGGTAACTTTGGTTCAGCTTGGTCATCTCCTCGGGTGTCAGGCTGCCAGCTCGGCAGGTGTGTGTGTGTGTGTGTGTGTGTGTGTGTGTGTGTGTGTGTGTGTGATGTCTGCGTGGGTTGAAAAGTAAAAACAGTCGGGAGGTTGAGAGTTCCTCATCGATACTCTGACTCTCACAGTATAGATCCCTTCCTTTGTTTCTTCTGTAAATGTGCTCTTATCATCAGACGCTCCCCGGCAGCTTAACCTGAGACCTCCAACACCCACGACTCGGTGTGCACCCCCACACACTGAGCTGAGAAACGTCTGCAGCTCAAAATACACCTGAATCGCATGAAATCTGAAAGCCATGTCACAACACGGATGAGATACCCGATTCCCTTTGATTGAGACGCTTGATGCAATTGTCTGGTCGGGTACGATCGTGTTCGAGTTGTGTTTGAAAGCAGAGCTTAGAAACGTTTCAGCTTTTTGACGGAAAAAACACGTAATGAAAAAATATTTAAGGAAAAACACACTCATACGCTTTATTGCCAAATTGCGTTATATCGTGAGTTCTCACAGTTGATACGTTCCGATGAAGCTTTTTTTTTTTTTTGACCCCGATCAGAATTTTATAATGGATCTCTGTTGTTTCAGAATCCGATCCGATCGTTACGTTTACCTAAAAGCTGTTTGAATATGTATCCGACATGTTGAACGTAGCCTGCTTAATCTGGCACACTTTATTTACACAATACTTAAACAAGCGCTGAAGGTCCTGATTGAAAACCATTTGACAAGCTTCTGAAATTGATCAGCTATCAAGAGAAGTGACAGCAGGCTGAGGCGGACAAAAGGATCGCATTGCGATCCTCTTTATTTTAGCCGATGCCGATTTATTAAACCTGACCGGGTCAGCCCTTGTACCGACCCTCTTGAATCGGCTCGGGACATCGCTAGCTCCCAGTCTAAACATCTCCTGGCTCTAGCTTCATTTTTAATGGGCAAATGTGAGCGAGCGTTTACCTTCTCACCCAACTTTTGGCAAGAAAGCAAAAAAAGAAATTTGTATTTCCCAAAAGGTTGAATTATTCCTTAAACTCCCCTGAGCTTCCAACGATATATCATGGGGGTACTTTTCACAACGCTAAACTTCATGGAGAAATCCCTTAATGTACCATGAGGAGAGGGAGTCCTCTGGAGGGGCTTAGAGCGAGGACACACGGGTGTATCCTTACGCGGAAGTATTTCATCGAGTGACATATAAATGAAGCAACACACGTTGTGAAGCAACTGCCGACGCTCAAGGCTGACAATATGGAACCATAGACTGTAGGAGAAGAAGGAGGGGACGTAGTCACTCTGATGTCTTTGGTTTGTGGACGACCGTTTTGAAGCCTTAAGTTTGGCATTTTGGCTGTCGCCATCTTGGCTTTTGCCTACCCCATCTTGGTTTTTTTTTGCAACCAAAATTGACGAGAGAGGGTGGAGCTAAGTACAACCGAACGCTAAATAATACATTTTTAGGAGACCAAAATGTTAGAATTAGCTGTCATGAACTGATAACACACTGTGAAAGGGTTAAAGTTCTAAGACGAAAATTTTGACTACTCTGTGGTAGCGGCCAGTCAATCACAAGGTAGCCCCGCCCTAAAGCATACGTTGCGTTATATTTCGCTCTTAATGGGACCATCATTTACCAAATGAACATCATGCGGTATTGAAGAAGATTTGAAACTCCAGCGGGATGCTTCTGGTGGTTTCTGTTGATGTAGCTTTGGTTTTATTCTCATCATCTATTATATCTTATCATCGTTCCTCTATTTACAGCTGTCACAGGGTTGCCAGGCTCGTACACACGAGCGTGACCGATGTCACGTTAAAGGGTGTCTCAGCCTTTCTCTGTTTCTTGCCACCAGTAATATCTCATGGCAGCATGGAGCATCCATAACACAACGCCATACAATCTTTTCAAGCTGAATAATGTGCTCGCGGGGAGAGATATTTTCTTACAGTGGGTGTGTGGGATTTTTATGGCAATGAGTGCGTGCAGATACACTTGTTTATTTGTTGTTGTTTTGTCCCGGGGGTAGAATGAAAGTAAAGGAGGAGGGCAGATGCATATGCTGCAATACCTAATTGAAACATGAAGTGTTACTGCAATGTGGCAATTAGCGAAACATTCAGAAACACAGATATTATGGAAGTAAAGGAGTCTTAATGGGATTGTTGGATTGCAGGTATGATGATCTGCAGGGTGGGAGTGATGAGATGTTCAGGGACTCCCTGAACTCCCTTTAACGCCTTTATATTTGCGGGAATGAATTTGAACACTATTTTTAAAGACTGGCAGCCAGAGGTGAATTCACAGCGTTGGCCACAGTGAGTAATATCAAATAACGGCAAGAGGACAGGGGTCGACTGAGCAAATGCCTTCCATTTGCTTTTCTTAGAATATGCTGTATGCTTGGCTTGTGTCGGTGGTTTGTGAGCCCCGTGGGGGGGGGGCATAATTTATACTCCTTTTTCCTCCACTGGCACTACACCAGCTAGAGCAGAGCAGGAAAAAAAGAAAGTGAGAGAAATTAAAGGAAAACAGTTTTGACATTTTCATGACGTTCCAGTGTACATCTGCTGAGACGCTGCTTAAGTCGTTGATGCTTTTCAATTAACTCCTAATTAGGGCCATGGTTATCCAGCGAGGCGATTATTGCAGCCAATCAATCGCGTTAATTAATCAGTGATGGGTAAACGAGCCGCCAGGCCAATACCATGCTTAAACTTTACAAAGGAAAAGCAATTGTAGTGAGACAACAGGAGAAATGCTACACATGCATTTGAATTTCATTTTTTTTTTTTTTTTTCATGATACCAGATCTTAACAATTTTTTTTTAATCACTTAAAAAAAAACATTTTTTTGGCTCTACTGACCGGCCTACAGAGAGGTATCCGGTCTTATATGTTCACCCTGTTTTGACCTCCATCACCAGAGAAAGCTGCCCCATTCTGACACACATCATTCAATTGGATTTGAACCATTCTCTCCAATTCAATAGGAGGCTCCTTTACCATTCAGTGAAGACAAAAACCCTTTATGGCTGCTGGAACCACCTTGAAAGGCCTCGGGCATGGCCGCTCCTTCAGTGTCTGAGAGGAATATGCTGGATGGATGTATAAGGATAAACCCAGGTTGATGCAATCTCAGCCTGCGATGGTTAAGCCTCCTTCACAGCTCCGTCTTTAATGCCCTTTTCTAATGATGTGCGTGTTGTGTGATAAATGTACCCTCTCAACAATTTCACCGTAAAATAACAGTAAAATGCCGGCAGCAGTAATGGCTGGCAAACAGTAATTTACTGTTATTTTACTATGCTGTGGTTAACCGACGGCATTAACTGTTAATTTACATGCAAAGGATGAATATTTAACCGTGTGTTACAGTTTTTATGAAATCATATAAGCTACTGTTGTAAATCCACTGTACATTTACAGCAGTTCATTGCAGTGTAGTGAAGGCCAAATAGGTCCACTTCCACCAAAAGCAAACTGGAGCACAGGGGAAGCAATGACATCACCCCACTGTTGGCCTATTAAAGATTTAACAGTGGCCGATGCAGTATCACTGGCAAACATTCACCAGCAGCTTGTGGGGTTTACTCGAGTCTTCTGCGGGTTTAGACGCCAAATGTCCCCCGTCTGCTCCTCGCCTCCCACTCGCTGCCACTTCAGTTCTGACGCCGGCGTGTTGACACGACAGTGGGGCTCCAGACGTCGCCACGGCAGCGAGAATAGGAGAACAACTGTTACAACCAAAACCTGATAATGAGTTTTCATTGATGTGTCAAGTACACTGCTATCAACATCAGCTAATATAGGCACAGGTCAGAGTAGCTCTGAATAAACAATTGATGACATTTGTTTTGTAACAATATTTGGCTAAATGAAAGAAAATCTAAATACGTAAGAGCAATATTTCATTTTATTCACCTGTTATTTCTGCCAGAATAACAAGAGGAAGAAAAACAAGCCAAAAATGTACTTATAAACGCTTGTGGTTTCCCCACTATAACAAGTTAAAATGTGATTTTATCACATCTTGTGAGATAATTGGTTTTGGAACATTTTACCGTTAGCCACCAGCAGCCTATCTTACCGTGCTGGATGCAACTTCCACGAAAATGGCAGAAGTTATTGCTCCTTGGCCTGTTGCTCATACGATAAATGTTAAATCTGCCTTAAGTCCTCACTTCAAATCTTGTTTGGGAATTTAAGTAACAGTGTGTGTGACATCAGTCACTGCTGGCAGTTTACCACCATGAGTGTTGTAGAATG